TTTCTGGTCACCCCATGTCTGATATCAAATGGTGGTATTCAGCAATTTTGTAGTTATTCAAAAGAATGGAAAACCCAAATCGAACTTGTTTTTCCGATATCCATTATCACCTTTTTCAACCAGCCTAGTATTTGCTTGACAAGCTCGAGATCAAAATGGCAGCAGGGAATTCACTTCGCTTGTATATGGAATGACTTATCTAAGGCAAAAATGAATTAAGAGAACCAGTTAAGATCCCTTCTAGTTCACTGCTATTGCAGCAGTCCAGTCGAGATACAACAATGTTGTAGTAATGTACATGGGAAAAAGTAGCTGATGGTGGATACTCTTTTGAGGCCATTTTGCTGATGGATTGGATACAGCAGGGATTGAGTACTGTTACTGAAACACCAGGGGTTTGGTCTAGGTCCTGCTGCTGGGCGCACAGAAAGCCAGTCACTGAGACGTCAAGGATTGCCAAGGAAGAAGGCTTTAATCAGGTGCCGTGGCCAAGGAGATGGAAGCTCAGTCTCAAATCCATCTCCCTGAAGACCAAAACCAGGGGTTTATATAGCAGGAAAGAAATGTAGCAATATGCAAGAAAACAGGAGCATGGGAGGGGCAAGAAAAGCAATCATGGTGACTGAGGGGCCCAGCGTCTAGTGAGGGTGATCTGGTTTCAGTTCTTTGATAAATACTTCTTGTGAGAGGCCTGAAGGTCCTTTCCTGAGGAAGGAACTCAGATAAAACAAATATGTTTCAAGCTTTAACCGCAGAAGGGTCAACATCTATAGTCCAGCACTTTGGGAGGCCAAGGGAGGTGGATCACCTGAGGTCAGGAGTTCGAGACCAGCCTGGCCATCTCTACTAAAAATACAAAAATTAGCTAGGTGGAGTGGCATGCCTGTAATTTCAGCTATTCGGGAGGCTGAGGCGGGAGAATTGCTTGAACCTGGGAGGTGGAGATTGCAGTGAGCTGAGATCATGGCACTGCCCTCCAGCCAGGGCAACAAGAGCGAAACTCCATCTCAAAAGCAAAAAAAAAAATGCAACTGTCTGTGGGACTCTTTGGCCAGTTTCAGTAGGACTCACAAGGTTCTGATTTGAGCAGTGGGGTAGTTGCTTATGCCATTGACTCAGGCAGGGAAAACGGGAGTAGACTTATGGGGAAAATGAGGAATTCTGCTTCGGCTAGGTCACATTTGAGATGGCTGATAGGGTACCAAATAGAGTTGTCAAGTAAGCAGCTGGATATAAATCTGGAGTTCCCAGACAGGTCACAGTGGAAAACACAGGTATTTGGGCAGCTTGGACTCAGCCCTTATTGTGATACCAGATCTGGCATGGAGTAGAAGGGTGGAACCAGCCAATCTAATTTTGGGAACATGGATACAAGTCGATGCTTCCAGTCTGTATTGGAATGGAGATAATGATTTGTGTTCCCTAGAAATGACACTTAAACTGGATATGGACTTACTTCCCTTATCACAGTGTATCACTGTGGCCTCCTGGGTATTACAAGGTACCTTGTACACAGCTAGGGTGTCCCATACAACACTGCTTCTTGCTTGGCACACAGTCGCATATCATTCAATCCTGCATTAAAGGGCTTAGATAATAGGTCACCTGTAGGGATTGTAGCAAGCAGGGGCCATCATTTTTCACATAGGATTTCCCAGAACTGGAAGGGACTTTTAAAGACTCAGAAATCTTTCTGGGCAGTGCCTTCAAAGTGTGCTCCCTGAGTTGTTCCTGGTGCTCTGGTGACCGGGAGTAGTTGACCCTATTTCAGTGTCAATCAAAACAATATACATTCCATAGTAAACTTTTGTGTTTTGGGGAGAGAGTTTCACTCTGTCACCCAGGATGGAGTGCAGTGGCCTGATCTTGGCTCACTGCAACCTCCACCTCCCTCCCAGGTTCCAGGGATTCTCCTGCCTCAGCCTCCTACCAAGTATTTGGAATTACAGGTGCGTGTCACCATGCCCAGCTAATTTTTGTATTGTTTAGTAGAGATGCGTTTTCTCCATGTTGGTCAGGCTGGTCTTGAACTCCTGACCTCAAGTGCCTTTGGGCCTCTAAAGGTGCTGGAATTACAGGTGTGAGCCAGCTCTCCTTGCCTATAGTGAACATTTATAAAAGATTTTGTTTGAATAGGTTTCTGCCATTAAGAAGATGCAAAGCCCTGAGGGAGTCTGTGGTAACCCCCCATATAGGCACCGAGGAATGAGAGCTAAGCAGAACCCTGGCACAGTTAGGGGTTGAAGAGTTTATAGTGTTACTACTCAGCTATTTCCTTTTATATGATCCTTTACATAATCATATATTAGCTTATAGAATTAGGGCTTGAAGAATCCCTTTATATAATCCTCTATATATAATCATATAGTAGTTGATAGTATGAGTGCCTAAAGAATATTTCCCTACATATATACCTATAATTAGTTCATAATCGGAGGAATGCCTAGAGTGGACACAGTACAGAGCATGAATTAAGGAATAAGAAGCTTATCATTGGAGGAATGCCTAGAGCAGACACAGTGCAGAGCATGATTTAAGGGAAAAGCAGTTATACCAGGACAATAATCCATGGCCCAGGAAGGCCACGTTCAGTATCGTAAAGATACCCGCTGTGTGGCAGGCTTGGGGCAAGAGTCACTCCTCCTGATAAAGGAGTTGTGGGACCTTGCTCCAGTTCTTGTGGAAGGCTGCCCTCAGAACGGCAATCCACCTTGGGGACTGTGAACTTTATCAGCTCTTGCTACTGTGCTGCTTGAAAAGCATCTTCCCATAGAACCCATTAGAAGCTGCCAGAAGGTGGCGGTAACCTTGACAGCTCTGTCACTGCTGTGTGACTTAAAGCATCCTCCTATAAATCTTCTTAGCAGCACTTTGGGAGGCTACTAAGAAGCACTTTTGGGAGGTGGGTGGATCACCTAAGGTCAGGAGTTCGAAACCACCCTGACCAACGAGGTGAAACCCCATCTCTATTAAAAAAAAAAAAAACCCAAAACTTCTTAGTAGCTTGCCCATAGATAGAGGTATTGCACACTGCACCCTCTTCACTGCGCATGGCCCACCTTCAAGCCTCGGTGACCTAATGGGGGTGGATCCCTTAATGCACACAGCCCTTGCCTTCATGGGAACGGGCCCCTTGCTACACACTGTCCACCTTCTGGCCTCACGACGCTGTCACTATCCTTAAAGATGATTTCACTCACTGCCCTGCCCCCTAACCTATACACAATAAATACTCATGCTTCTGGACATTCCGGGCCTCGTCTGACTCTGCTTATAGGTGGCATGGCTCCCTGAGCCCAGCTGCGTTTTCCTTGTACTTCTGTGTCCTGTCTCTTTATTTCTCTGATCCTGTGCCTCAGCAGAGCATAAGGCTCACCCCACGACCCTGTGGGGCCCTCAGCCCTACAGGAGTCTAACCTCTTCACTTTGCATATGGGAAAACTGGAGCTCTGAGAAGTGAAATGACCCAGACCTCGAGGTGCCACCTCCCTTTCAGTGCTCCTGCCCTGCGAGGATGTGGCAAGTCAAGAGAAGACAGAGGATTATTAAAGTTATCTGAGGATCTCGGAGCCTCATCCCTGAGCTATGATAGTCATTCCCTCTTAGCTGGGAGCCCCATCACGACCTTCCAAAGCTCTGGGTGGAATCTGAGACTGAGAATGATGGCTTCCCATCATCCTCCAAGGAGGGAGTTGGAGGTGAGAAAACAGCAAAACCATGTGCTAGACAAGATCTCCAACTGCAGGGTTCTGGAGGCAATTAAGAAGTTTTGAAGGCGCAGATTGAAACTCGGGGCCGCTGAGGGCCCGCGTCAGGAACTGCTGAGGACAAGATGGGGTTACAGAGGGCAAGCAGATACCGACGCCCTTTTCCACCTGCTGGGCATGGAGGGGCGGGACTCAGCCCCCTCCTCGATTGGGTTTAAATCACCACTCCCAAGGATTCCTGGCTGTGCCTTTGAGTGTGTGGCAAGGGATTGCAGACGGTGGATCGTTTGTCAATTCAGGGAAGTCAGCCTCTTTCTGCCACTGAATTCGCCCATCCGACTTGCCCATGGTTCACTGTGACCCTCACTGCACGGGTGGGGAAATCCAAGGTGCGGAGGGGTCTGGGCCAGAGTCCGGGCTATCGACTCATTCCGGGGTTGTAGGGTGTTAAAACGCGCGCTTTGAATAGAGACTCCCAAACAGGCTTTGTGTGAGTAATATGGTTGTTTATTCACCTGGGTGCAGGAGGGCTGAGGCTGAAAAGGGCCTCAGCGAAGGGCGGTAGGATAGGAATTGGTTTTAAACGGTTGGGGTGGGCAGCGGAAAGCTACAGAAGTTACAGTTAGTGGCGGGTGTTCTGCAAGCTGGGAGGCGGTCCTAGGGTGTGGAGTCAGGAGGTTGGCAAAGCTGGGAGGCGGTTGTAGAGTCTGGAGTCATGAGTTTGGCCAAGCTCGGTTACAAAGTCGAATGGCCTTGTTAGTTGAGGCCGGAATAAGAAACAATGGAAATGTCTCAGGTTAGTTAGGCGCCCGCTGCAGGGGCTGACGGTTTCTTCCAGGAACTCCTCTGGGGTGTACGTGCAGGTCACAGCGCTTACCATGCCGCTCTCCGCGCGGTCAGACCTTACATAGGGTAGCACGTGTGAGGAGCGTGGGCTCCAGCGTGCCGGGCACTAACTGCAAGTGCAATGGCCACAGGCTCCCAAGGTGGTCAGGAGCCCACTCCCAACACCACTCTCCGCGAGACCGCCTCGCCATCCAGCAGGGTGGTGCGCGCGTCCTCCCACACCGCACGGGGGGGCGGGGCCTCCGTGTTGTTGTTTCTCTGGGGCCCCGCCCCTCAGGGGGGCGCGGACCACGCGGCCGGAGGGCCCGCCTCCCCTCCCCCTCCCCGCCCAGCCCGCCCGCCTCTTTGTATCCAACATCCGGGTTTCCCCGCTGGCTCGGCTCCGTGGCCGCCGCTCCGGAGCCATTTTGGACTCGGTTCAGTTCCCCTCCCCCCACCCCTCCCCCCGTTCATGGCCCCTCCGGACTCGGCCCCTGCGCCGGGGGCCCGGGCCCAGCCCCGCCGCGCTATGCCTGAGTCGGGCGCGCCCCGGCCCGTGCCCCGCCGCCGCCCCCCGGCCCCCGCGTCGCCCCGGAGCCCGGGCCGCAGCCTGCACCGCCCGCAGCTGCCCTGAGCCCGGCCCCGCCGACTGGCCCTTGGAGACCGAACGCTGCTCGGGGACGAAGGCGCAGGAAGCGCGCGGGGAACGAGACCGAAGGAAAGAGCGAGAAGGAGAGCGCAGCCGCCGCCCGGCCCTGCGCGCCCCGGGAGCGCCGTGCGGCCCTGCCCGCGGGCTCCGGGTGTGCGCGGGGCGGCGCCGCGGAACATGACGGCGCCCTGGGCGGCACTCGCCCTCCTCTGGGGATCGCTGTGCGCGGGTAAGAACGGGGCGCGGCGCGGGGACGCTGAGAGGGCGCGCGGGGCTGGCCTCTGGCGCCGCGCGGTGTTTACCAACAAAGGGCGGGCCCGCGGCCTCGTCGCCGCGCCACCTGCATTCAGCTCGCAGCTCCCGGGCCCGGGGCTGGGGGCGCGCTGGGTGCCCAGCTCGCAGGTCTTGGGGGCACGGTCTTGTCTGCGCAGTCATTCTGCGGGGTTCTGGTTCCTAGACGCGCCCCTGCGATGGGGGCCGGGACCCGGAGCCTCACGGTCGGAGTTCAGGCTACACGGGCGCGTGGAACCCAGGGAGAGAGTGAGGAAAACCTGAGTGTGGGGAAGGCGGCCAAGCCGGTGGGCACATCTCATGGGGGCGGCAGGATTGTAGGTGCAGCAGCAGCGGCATGCGGGGAGGGTTGCACGTCCCTCAGAGTCACTAAGTGTAGTGAAGCGAAGGGGGCGGCTTCGCGCAGCCCAGGGAGTCCCCAGCATCCCGGACCACCAGTCTGCGTCCTGTTCCCGGCCCGGCGGGCTGTTGGTGCTGGCTCCCACCTGCTCCCTCTTTCCCTGCCTTTGGCCCCGGTTGCGGAGTGTGGCCGCTTCGCGGGACCGCTTTGTTTGGGCACTTGGGAGGGGAGAGGGAGTAAGATGGAAAACCAACAGGTCCCTGTTCGCTCGGGCCTTCGGGAGGCACGTGGCGGGGTGGGTGACCCCCACACTTAGCTCGCCGGCGACCACGGGTGTGGTGTTGGAGGTGTTCGGCCAGCGCTTGTGTGCTTGTCGGTGTGTGGGTGCTGGCGTAAACAAGCGGAGTTCCGCTTGGAAAGCTTTTTTCCCCCTAAGGCCCAAGCACCGATTTCCCTCTCCCAGTGGTGCTGGGTACCCCTAACCCCGGCGGGCGCGCCGGGACGGCCTTTTGGCCAGTCCTGGGAAGCGTGGGGAGCTGGGCACTGAGGCGCTGGCGAGAAGGTCGGGGCTGCTGGTACCCGGCCGCCGGGTACTGCGCGTCTTTGTTCCCAGCCCCCATTACACATGCAGCGCGGGTCCCCCGCCGCCCACGGTAGCAGCAGCCTGGAGTCTGGGAAACCCGTGAGGGGCGGGGCCGGGCGTGCAGGGGCGGGGCCGGAGTCCCCGCGTTGCTGCAGGGGTGGGGATCTGGGATCTCCGTCCCGTTCCCACCGCAGTTTTACCTCCTTTGCGTCGTGGTGAGACTTAGTTTACACCGAAAACGAGTGAGTTCTGTATGGTAGTAGCGCTCTCGCAGTCTGAGTGTGCAGACCAGAAGACCTGTTGGCACCTGAGCACCTATGGAAGGGGGCATTGCAGCTCTCCTGGAGCTGCTCCCTGTGTGCTGGAGGCAAAGTGGTGGTCGTGTTGGACTTTCTGTTCCTCTTTTTTGCCCCGCTCCCTTTGGGATGCCTTTTCCCCAAGAAGGAGGGCTCTGAGGTGAAAGGGGAGGCATTGGTCTGCCAGAGGCAGGGCTGCAGCCGGCTGACTTGATAGGCACACAGCAGCCCGCCTGGCTGCCTCCAGACCCGCTGGGTGCCTGATCCCTGCAAGTGCTGGGGCTCTTCCAAGTCCAGGCTTTAGGAGCACTTCCTCCCGAGACAAGACAACTTCAGACCTGGGATCTGGGGAGCACTGGTCTCACACTTCCCTCCATTTGGCAGGGCAGGGTGGCATCAGGGCCCTGGAAGGACTGTATTTCCTTTCTTTTTCCTCTGCTTCAGCCTGCTAGCTTGGACAGTGCTGAGCAGTGTACCCCGCCAGGGCAATCAGAGTCCTACTATAAGGACCTATGTTCCTGCCCAGGGAGGAAGGCGGGGGTCACTAGGTATTTCTTGTGGTCATACCAGCCAGTCCCTGACCTGTGAGGAACTGTGAAAAGAGCTGCCCTAGGCCCAGTTTGGAGCAGACCTGACCCTCCTGTTGCTTTGGCTTCAGGAATGCCTTTTTTTTTTTTTTTTCAAGCTCCCAGCTTACCGTTTGGAATAACCCCCATGCTGTGCAGCACCCAGTGCCCTGGTAGAAGGAACATCTAGAAGATTGCTGACAAATATTACATGAACTCTATGTAGACACAAAACTTAACATTTCCTAGTAGTCATGTTGATAAAAGGAAGAAGAAACAGTCTTAGCTCGGGCTGCTATAACAAAATACTGTAGACTGGTGGCTTAAACAGCAGAAATTAATTTTCTTAAAGTTCTGTAAGGCTGAGCCCGGGGTGCAGGGTGCTGGCATGGTTGGGTTCTGGTGAGGACCCTCTTGTTGGCTTGCAGACATCTGCCTTCTTACTGCATTCTCACATGACAGGGGTGGGGTAGGGTGGGGGATGCTTTCCTCTTTATAAGACCATGAATCGTGTCCTCATAACCTGATGGCCCCACCCTCATGACTTAATCTAACACTCACTACCTCCCAAAGGTCCCATCTCCAAATGCCATTACACTGGGGGTCAGAGCTTCATCATATGAATTTTGAGGGGATTCATTCTTTCCATGACGTGGAATGAACTTTAATAGTCTGTTTCACTGGCTGGGTGTGGTGGCTCACCCCTGTAATCCTAGTACTTTTGGAGGCAGAGGTGGGCAGGTCATGAGGTCGAGATTGGGACCATCCTGACCAACATGGTGAAACCCCGTCTCTACTAAAAATACAAAAATTAGCTGGGCTGCTGGTGGCGCCTGCCTGTAGTCCCAGCTACTTGGGAGGCTGAAGCAGGAGAATCACTCAAACCCGGGAGGTGGAGGTTTCAGTGAGCTGAGATCATGCCACTGCCCTCCAGCCTGGTGACAGAGCAAGATTCTATCTAAAAAAAAAAAAAAAAAAAAGTATATTTTATTTAATTTGATATATACAAAGTAATCATTTCAGCCTGTAGTCAGTATTAAAATGAGAGACATTCCATTTTTGTACTGTCTTCAAAAAAATCCAGTTTGTATCTTAGGGAAATCTCAGCTCCAACGTTTCTACTGCTCCGCAGAACATTTGACTGCTATGCTAGTGGCTACCATGTTGGACAGTGCCATCTCAGAAGGGAAGGCAGACTTTATGTTGTAATAATGGCATATGGTGCTTGCCACAAGATCAGTCAGTGGTCAGTTATTCTTTAATAATTCTTTAAGTCCTTTGGGGCCTGTCCTTGGCTCAGCGTCCTTGGGAAACAAGCCATTTGGCTCTTGTATTTCGGTGGACATCCCAGACATTCACCTTGTAGCCTGCAAGAACTCCTGACACCTGTCTCTGTACTTGGAGTTCAGATCACAGGGCCTGTGGGGGTGGGATGAACAGTGCTCTAAGTGATGTGTCCAGAGCTCTTGGAGAGGAACCTGCGTCCCTCCTGTCCTATCAGGAAGTACAGGCCCTGACTGTCCTCATAGGCTGACCATTCTTTGATCCAAAGGCGTTTCTTGGCCACTTCCTTGGGGGAGGGCAGGCAGAGTGAGCAAGTGAAGTGAGGTGACTCTCATCCCTCAGGCCTAGTGTAGTGGTAGCTGCCAAGGACATGGGCTACAGAGCCATGGGCTGTGGATGGCCCTCCCAGGGAAGTGTTTTCTGCTATCTGTCCTTGTACCTGCTGGGCACTCGAGAAATGGATACCCTCCCTAGCTCTTAGGGGCCCCTCCAAGACAGATGAAGTGAAAAACCTGCCCATCTTCCCAGGCCCTACAGCTGGGTAAAAACATAAGATCTGAACCCCATGGCTTCCCATTGCTTGGGTGGGCCTCTGTGGTGTACTACTCTGTGGGTCTTCCTGGGCATCAGGAATCTCCAAAAGCACCTGGACCTCTGCTGGCATTTCACCTAAGGAACTCCCATTACAGGGAGCCATTGAAGAGCCCACATTCTATGCAGTGATGCTTGATGTCATAGCCCCTTCTGAGAATTTGATGAAAGCTGTGGAGCCTCTGCCCAGGAAGATGTATGTAAATCAGTATATATGTGCATGTGTGTGTATACTGCATGCCCCCACTCTGTTTTGCACAGATGCAGGGAACCTGCTGCCCCCTGATTAGACTCCTTGAAGTCCTGGCTGCCCTGCACGTATCCACTGGAGCAGTCCTACAGGGCAGCTTGTCCTGGGGGTGAGGGGTGCTTGTTCCACCTTGTACCTCACTTACTCTGCCTTTTGCGATCCTGCCGGATGTTCAGATTCTAGCCCTGGTCACTCTTTCCAGAAAGCTGCCCCGAGTGCCTGCTATGCATTCAGCCCCTCTGTTTGGGAGCTCAGGGTAATGCAAATGAGAACCAAGGAGTATTGGGTCAGGAGTTTAGATCCACTCATAGATACTGACCTATCACTGTGGAATGGGATCGGGTGAGGACTGGGTCTGGATAATGCTTTTGAGGGTGACTCCAGACACCCTAGGTAGTCCTGAGGCAGGGTCCTGGCTGCATGGGCCTCACTCTAGAACGGGGTTTCTCAACCTTGACACTATTTACATTTTGGGCCTAATGATCGTCTATTGTGTATGGGGGTTGCGGGTAGTGGTGGGTTGAGCTGTTCTGTGCATGTGTAGGATAATTAGCAGCCTCTATCTACAAATTCCAGTAGATCCTCTTTAATCATGTCAACCAAAAATGTTTCCAGATCTTTCTAAATGTCCCTGGCAGAGGTGAGGGCAAAATCATCTCAGATTGGGAACCACTGATCTAGAATGTGCTCATGCTTTCAAAGAGGCACCCAGTTGTAAGAAGTAGGGGTAATGGCTTAAGAGTGCATATCCATCCCCCCTCTCTGAATTCAGGGTTGGAGGTTAGGTCTCCTCAAAGTCTAGGAGATTCCTGCTTAGTTGAAATCTACTCAGCACGTGACAGTTCGGTTCACAATTAGTGGTTCTGGTGTACAGCTTGCTACCGAGGAGAATCCTGGCGTCCTTGAGTTTTCCCAGAAGTGGTTCGAGTTTCAGGGAGGCGGAGGCTGTGGGTGGCTGGGCAGCCTGCCTGCCCACACCTGCCCACTCGCCTCTGACCGTTGCCTTAAGGCTGGCACTCACCTTCTTC